CTGTGAGCGCACACGAACACGTGTGTGTGTGGGCACGCGCGCACATGAGGGCCTTTGTCACACTCAGGGTTTCAGCTGCCGGCAGTTACGGGGGGTTCTGAGATCACATGGGGTATGGCCACGACCATGACTAAACACTGACTTCCATGGATAAAGGGAGGACTTCTGAGGCCCGAGGGATCTGATGCACTTCTGGGTTAAATTGGTCATGTGGTTGGGAAAGGGGGAAGGGCTTCTGGGGACAGACCTTTGAAGGTCGGGTCTCCCAGCAGAAGTTGGAGGAATGTAGCCTGCACCATCTTGTACCAAAGTTGTTCTTCAGCTGAGACTAATGACATTTCCAATGGTTGTAGCCTTTTCTTATCCTCTCCTCAACTTTCAAAATCATAATAGAAATCTAGGTTGCTACCGCTCAAACAAGGAATGAAGACAGGTGTTAGACATAAAATAAGTAGGAAATAGTATATAATAATTAATGACACAACTTACATATAAATACTATTTTTACATACAATAGTAACTATAACAGGCAGTTTGGGGTAATTTAGCATTACACAGGCTAACCAGATAGATGATGATGATTAGGGTACAGAGATGATACAAGACACACGAGACTGAGCTTCTCCTGAAGAGAAGACTAGAAGACATACTTTGAGTAACAAATAGCCAACAAACTATTTTTTATCTCCCTTATATTAAGACAAAATGGTATGATCAAACCCAATTACCTTATCTAGACAAAAATACTTTATATTGTTACTTAAAACAAAAGGGCTACATGAGGATCTTCCCTTCATATGTCCACAGACTTTATCATTCAACCTGGTTTTTTAGTGGTTTCGTTAAGCCCGGTAGTTTCATTAACACTTCCATCTAAATAAGTAATTTATCAATTAATGTTTTTCAAACTGATTTTTCTTCTTGACTTCAAGTACATACTTTTTAATTTTTTGTATTCGTAAAATAAAATTTGTATTCATAAAATCATTTGCCCTATAATCACTGAGTGTATTGTTCTTTATCTTCTCTCTGCATCATGATTAAGTAAAAGGAATCTTTTGAAGCAAAAGCTTATCCTTTTTGGATTGGCTTTCTTAAACTCTCATGATTTCCCAGCTAATGTTGAGGGGTGAAGAAACAGCAACAGCAGCAACCCAATTTTTGGATTAAGTTATGAGCAGATGTAGACTTGGCTACAAGTCATCTTTGCTTTTCCAAAGGCCATCTCCTGTTTTGTCCAAGGAAGAAGGATCACACTATACAACAGCATCCAAAACATGCTCTTCATCAAACAGACTATTCTGTCCTGAATTCTAAAACCTCCATTTTTATACCATGATTTCTCCTGATTGTTCTTACTCCAGTTAGAGGTCTGAAAGTTTTCAGAAATTATTAGTGCCAAGATTATTGACTGTTTTTATGAACCAGTACATACTTGCTCACAGGGAATGTTATGTATCACATGCTCACCAGAAATGGAAATGTGACAACTTAAAAGTACTGTTAATATGGAATGACTTTGCCCCGAGGGAACAATGAATTTGCTAAGAGAATGGCCATGCCAAAAGACTCGGGTTACCTCAGGGTGTAAGGGGTTTGAAATTCAGGAGATTAGAAAATTTCTCAAGACAAGAGGAAAAAAAACGGTATCAGATGTAACAAATACGCTCAATGAAATCTTTTCAGAGACCATTAACTGTAAAGCTAGAGGGATCATAACAATAACCTAATCTATACAAAGAGACAATAGGACTCAACCTAAATGCAATCCTGAACAGCAGAGACATTACAGAAAACTGTGTTTTTAACATTAATTTTGAACACTCATTCTTTCACATTTTTAATTCACTAACCTCGACTGGGGCAGGAAAAAACCACCAGAAAATGTAAAATAATTTCCTAGTTCCTTTTTGGTGCTTTTAGTCAGACCAGCATAAAAGGCATCTAAGCAGAATGCTCTGCTCGGTTGGTAATGTGCTGCTGGTAGTTATGGGGTATATATACAGTAAAGGACAGGTTATCAGGCAGATCCACAGCTGCAGTTGGCAGGTACAAGCTGCAGGCAGGGGAATAATGGTTCCTGTGCTATGGGGTAGTCTGGGTTCAAGGTGCCTCATGGAATAATTTGCAGATCTCATCCAGTGGCACCAGCGGACCTCTCAGGCACCTCACACATTCTCCATAAGTACAACATGTGAATGCGTGAATATTCAAGAAGCTCCTAAGTACTACTCTGAAATGATCACATTCTGCAAATACTTCTGGAATTCTCTGTCCCTCCCAACGCCCATAAGACAAGAAGCCTGGACTACGGAAACAACTAAGTGCTTTGAGATATAAATTTCCTCATGGTTCAGTGCTTCCTGATTTCTCACGTTAATAATTCTGATCCAAACTCTTCTGAATCTTCAGCTGAAGCATCCTACATATTTTTTTTTAAAGGTTAAAAAAAAACCTTTGTAAGGTCACTGTTTATCCTGTAACTTAAAAAAAGAAACTTTTTACTGCACAAGAAAATTCCAAAAGAATGCAGCAAATACAGAAAACGTGACTATCAGTGCAAGCACAGGTTTCTTCTGGGAATATGAAGTTAATTGCTCAACACTATAAACTGAATTATTCCTTAAGAAAACTTTTTTGATCAGCTGTAGAAAACTGCCATGCAAAATGACTGAGCTTCAAAGAACAGGAACAGTTTGTTATTTCTCAACCAAAAATAAGTAGGGTGCAATGTTCCAGGTAAGATGAGATGACTAGATCATTTTGGTGTTTACCAATATTCACATTTAGAAAAGTGGGGGAAAGAATGGTGGATGCAACACCTGTAAGTCTCAAAATCTCCTTGTACTTCTGTGATGAGAAGGTATTCCTTCTTCTCCATAACAGATAAGCAACAATTGGAAAAGTAGTCACAAGATTCCCAGAATAAAATTTATACTAGTCCAGAACACATCAAAATTAATAGTAAACCATCAAAAAGGAAAAGTAGAGGTTTAATTTGGACTGAGAGAAATTTTTGGTTAGAACTTCAATCCAGAGACAAAAGCTAAAGTGAGTTGTAAAATTTAAATAAGATGTTTTAATTTTAATATAATAAAATGTTTCAGAAGAGAAATAAAATCTAAACAGTATTCTGAAACACTGAAATGAGTCATCATAGATTTTTATGCTGAAAACCTTTACAATTTTAAGATGACAGCTTTCTAATTCCTTTTATTTCTAAAAAAAAAAAGCTTTAAAATGAAATGTTTTTCATTCAGATTAGATAGCATTAGCTGAATGCTTTGCTCAGCCTGAAGTTTTGTCTTTTCAACTTGCCAAAACACAATTAAGAAAACCTGATAATTTCAGTTTCTTCAAGAATAGTTTTTAGTACTGCCAATGAAGTGAAAAATCAGTTAAATAAAAATCCAACTAGATTATTTGCAAAGATTTTCATATCAACAGAATTACCAGTGGCTCAACTGGAACTTCTAAGGTTTAGGGCTAAACAGTGATTGTAAAAAGTCCACTGGATATGGAAGTTTATTAACAAGTAAGTTTTTAGAAAGGTTAAAGATCATGTTAAATAGAACCATAACCAAACTGTATCTACCAGAACTGTGGGATACTATTCTCTCAGAGTAAGGTCATGACCTCTTCAGTAAAGCCAGGCGATAAAAATGATAGGAATGGCAAGAGTAGGAAGTGCTCCTTCTCTCATTATTTAGCTCAGAGAAACACCTGCACCTTTGATTTAATAATGTTTAATGAAATTTCTTCACAATGATAACTTAGAGTGAGAGGGAGGATTGTAGAGTAGGTGAAGCTACAGTTGACCAATGAATAAATTATATTAAAATGACATGGGCTGGTTCTTTAAAAGCGTTAAGAACAGCCTCAAACGAACTAAGTTTAGCCTAGCTGCCCATGCAGCCTGAATAAGAACAGACTCATGTAACATGACATTTCTAATTCAGAGCCAGGCTGAAGAGAAATGTGATAGCAATCACAGATAAACAAGAGTGGAGACCAAACCAGGGAATTAAGGGATCCCCCCAAAACTGTAGGAGACCAGTCAGGAAAAGGTCAATGCGAGTCTTCATAAGTGAAGTTATTAGAGCATTAGATTAATCCAATTTATTAATACAACCAAAACCTTAGGGTACAGGCTGAGCTGCCCTTTGATCTTACCTTGTGAAACAACCCTACAAACTCTCTGAATGGCAGCTGTACTGAAGATATAAATGGGAACCAATAGTGGCGCTGCAGCCACAGAAAACTAAGGTTTTGAGGGAGAAGTAGAACTTCGAAAGAAGAGTATTGCATAGCAAGAGTTTGTGACAAAACTAAAAAATCCTGCCTGAGGGATAAAAAAGTATTGATATGTACATGCAGGTACATAAACATATAGAGAATAACTTGAAGTTTGTAAATGTCAGTCTCTGGAAGTACCAGAATATTAATTTCAAACAAGATAAAAACAAGAGGTAGTAGTAACAAAGCATTTCTAGTGTTCTAAGAGTCTGTAATTAACCTGTGCCTGATTCTGGTGAAGAAAACATGCCTGGGACACCGGAGGTTTCATCTCAAATCCTGCTGCAGCTGAATGAAGTGGTTGAACTCCATTTGCTTCAGTGCAGTAAGGAACATGTGGAAGTCAAGCTTCCACAATCTCTAAATGAAGGCCAGAGCTTTCAAAAGCCACCTTTGTTCCCAAGCACTCTGTTTCTGATAGCTGAGCTTCATTTGCTACGGGTGGTAATTCAGCTGGGGCCATGAATGCTCAACACATAAAAAAAGTACATTTCACTGGGTAAGAAAAAAAGATGATAACACAATGCAAATGGCTTAAAAACTTTAAAGCCATTCTGAAAAACAAACTCTGAAACCTGAACCACCTTACTGAGCTCAGTCTACTGGAAAACTGTCCCTTTTCAAAGCATCACATCTTTCACATGAAATTTGAGTTTGGCAGATTTCCAGTTCAGTTTCAACAACACAAAAAATGCTAGGCTTACCTATCGGTTTTTTCTCCTTGCTGCCTTTACGCTAAGTGCATTTCTCTAGATTTTGTTTTCCTTCAAGATCTGCATGCTCCAAGCCACAGCGAGGATCTCTGTTAATCCTTGTGTTGCGCTTTAACTCAGCTGTACTTTGTCACAGCAGACCGGTGTGTATTCACGCCACAGACTTTCTACAGATGCCTGGTGCTGCGAAAAAGTGCATATGGTAAATGGCTCCTTTCATTATGCAGATGTTCAAGCATTACTTGTTGCTAAACTTGTTCACTGCCTGGGTAATCCATCTGCCTGCCTTGGGGGAGTGCCTAGTGCAGCTCAATAATAGCAAGGCAACTCTCAAAAGAGGAAAAGACTGATAGCTGCAGCACGGCATTTCTGCAGCAGAAATCTTACACTGGTTAATACGGACACAGAATCCATACAAACTGTCTTGCAGGCTGCTGCGCTCTCTAGAGGGAACTCATAGCAAGGGAAACTGTATTCATTCCAGGGTATTCATGAATTCCCAGGTGACTGCTGGAATAGTGAAAATGTTACAGATTATGACAGTACAGTGTTTCAACAGAATGCATGAAAAAGTGAGGTAAAAAGATGCTCTTTGGATCACATCACATTGTTTTCTTTACTCCTTGCTAGCTCAGTAACCAGCTTTTCTTTCCCTTCTCTCTGAGATCCATTTCCCTTCAGCCTTTGACTGCTAGTCTATGCCAATACCAATGAATTCTGAAAATAATAGCACAAAACAGAATCTGATAACTAGTGAATGTATATGCAAGCATAGAAGAGGGTAACACAGAAAGTATCAAATAATAGCTAGGGAACATTAAGACAGTGGAAGATATGACGGCAGTTATGGAAGCTCCAGGAGGTTTATTTCTTCAACCAGCATATTTTCATTAATGAATAACAAAAATGAGGTATATTTAGTGAATATAAATGATATAAAGCAGTAGTGTAATGAAATTAGTTCTGCCAAGTGCATTAAAAATGCTTTAAAATAATAAACACAATCCAACTCTCATTAAAAAAAAAAACAACAACCATACAGAAGAAGTGATATTTCTGTGTCCAGCTTATGTCAGTATTTTAAAAGAGAGACCACTGAATCACAGGTAAAAATGCTTTTTTAATTTTTCAGGATGTGAGCCATATGATATTTAGCACATCACATTAAGCTGAACTGATTTTACCTTTTGCTAAGTTTTTAATTTCTCCTAATAGAACTGCAGTCTACACTGTCCTTTATACAATATCACCAAATCCTTTACAGTAAGGTATACACAGGTTTAATTGCAGTACTTACTTTTGCCTGGTAATGAAATGTATGTTGACCCATGCCAGTTCATGAATGCTTCCTGAACAAGGACTTGAAAATCCAGCGTTTGAAAGAGTTTCACATATATTAAAAGAAACAAAACAAAACAAAACCAGAAAGAAAGGGGGGGTAACAGACCCAGAAGAAAGCTAAACAAAGAAAAAGCCTGTAAGCTTTAGAGCTCTGACTGCAAAATGTTCAGCCTGGCAGCTCCTGGAGAAACACAACTCTGTGTACTTGTACATGCTCACCCCATTAGAGGAGGAGTCAGTTTTGCAACACTTATGTTCCTTGCTTGAGGCAAAACAGTGATTCTCTTCAGTGCAAGCAATGTTTGGAGTGTGACGGCTTTAAAGGTGAGAGGTGTGCTCTGGAGCGTAGGAATGCATCAGCAGAAAAAGAATAATTCTAAGCATCAGCTACATACTCTACAGGTTGTTGTGGCTCCTTTTAAATGCTTATTATCTATGATTCTTTTTTTAAAAGGGAAATCTAATATCCCTTCAATATAAACTGCGTCCATAAAGCTTTTTATGCACCAGTAGTCCATGTTTTATATTCTAAAATAGCAGAAAAAAAAATTCTTTTTTCAACAGAGTGAAAGGTGTTGGCTTTACACTAAAAAGTGGATTAAACAGAAGGAAAAAAAGTATTTTTTTTGTAGCTTTGATAGCTATTTCTTGTGATTTGAGAAGTTTCAGATTATGCAATAAGGTTTTGAAATTTACTGACATAACTATTCACTAGTCATCTATCTCTACTTAACTAAAAACATTTTTACATATTCTTAGTAATGCTTTCATTAAATCACATTTTTATCTTCTCTATATTCATGCCAGTGAACGGAACATACAATAAAATGTATGCATGTGTACTGAAAATTCTTTTAAGGGAGAGGAAGACTGAGCAAGAAGATTCTTTTTCATAATGAAAGGAAAGATTTCTTTGATGTGGAGGTTAAGCTGTTATTAGGGTCAAGTCTCTCCAGTCAAGGTCAGCACTGTTCACATCTTGTGACTAAATGGACGTTCTGCATACTATTTGAAACAATATAATTATATGCCCAGTTTCTTGTCAAACATTTGTGTTTCTTGACAAACATTTTGAGGTAAGGAATGTGTACCTTGTGATCTATCCACACAGAGATTACAAAACTTCAGGTGTGTTCCTTCAGTATGGTTTGGCTATGCTCACAGCTGCTGCTGAGAGGAACAGTTCCATTCTGCACCTCCACTTGCATTCCATCATGTGTGCTGTGCTATCCATTTGGCTCCATGTTAAGGTAGTTTAGAGAGCTAAATTGGTGGAAGACAATTCCTTTGTTTTTCCTCTTATTTGTAAATTTCTGAACAGGCTCACTCTGGGATAAAACAAATGCTGGCAACAGCATGCTGGGGAACAGAACATGTAGCTTACAGAAAAGACACAGCTGATTTTATTGAAAACTATGCCCTAAAATTTATGACATGCCCATAGCATTCATCCAGCTGTGAACAAATTCTACCAGTGACTCTCTGTGTTGAAAGGGATGACACTGCTCCTGATAAATAGGAAATGTGTGATTGAAAAGATGCTATCACCTCAAAAATGGGAAAAGGAACACATGGTAGAACCTAGCAGGTATTAAACCACACAGAAAAGATATAATAGGCTGTGGCTGGTTGTCCTATTTCTACATCTGTCTGACTGTGCTAAACACGGGGGATCAAAACAGGGGTGAGGGGAAAACAAAGGTAAGATTCTGCCTACGGAAGAAACTTTCAAAATGAAAGTGAACCAAAAAGTACTGTTAACATCATCTTAATTTCTGTAAGAGAAGTATATACTGTGAAGGTCTGCATGTGTATTTTCTCCCCTAATCAAAACAGGCTTTACAGCCCTGGAACGTAGTTGACAGGAAAAAGAAATAAAGAAATAAATCACTAATGATGTAGTAGCGAAAGATGAGGTGTGATAGTTAAGAACTACCACTGGTGTCAGTAGCAATGATAACTTCAGACATTTATACCTGTGCTGCCCAGTTTATAGCTAGCTGACGTAATGCAGCCTTGGTAACTGTGGCAGCAGGCAGTGCAGCGTGAGATAGCTCCTAAATATTTCCCTAGGATTTTGAGTTAGCTTTTTCAGCTTTTAATGAGCACTGTGTGCCTGTGGCTACACTATCAGCAATATTTAAGCCAGTCAGGCAAGTCTATACAAGCACACCCAGCCTGTGGTGGAAAACTGCCAAGAAAAGACACCTGTGATCCTAGGAGCACAGGATTAAGGAGAACACTTTAAGGTACTAGCAAGATCTCATATGCACAGAACACAGGTCACCCACATTCAAGCAAGATTCTTTCCAATTAGGACAGAAGAAAAGACAGGTCACCAAGATGAGGTAAAGACTATAAAGCCTATCTATTAAAATGTGACTGACAGAACTTGGCTAGGTTGGTGTGGCAAAGTAGAGGCTGAGGCAGAAAATGAACAGGCACTTACTTGTCCCTAAAAAGCTACTGTATGTCTATAAATACAAAAGAGAGAAAGAACTGAAAAAGTGAAGTAACTGTTTAGGCTAATGAGCAACGCTGGTGCAAGAACAACAGGTAGAAACAGAACACACATAAAATCAGACAGTAAACTAAAAGGATACTAACCACTGGAGTATGAAAAATTGAAGCAGACTTTCAGTAGTGTATAAAAAAAGCATAGCTACTTCTAGAACAGAACTTGACCAGTCTCTAAAGGCCAGTCTCATCCCATCTCATGTAACTGGTGTATTACTTTAAAAATCTGGTTTAGGTCACAATTTTAAGCTCCCTTATAGTCAATAGAGAAATATTCCTCTGTGGCTGGTCTAGAAGTATAATAACTTTATTTCTAGAGACTGATTTACTTAAAAAAGTTTGTAGGCTTGGAATCTGTTAAAATAATTTATTAAATTCCAAACAAAAGTCCTTAACACCAACAGATCATTCAAAGAAATGAAGGTTTAGTAAATTAAGAAAGCAAGAGCCTAACTTTATTTTCAATATAATGACATTTGTATAACTGCACCTCAGTGAAGTTACTCTGCATTGGAGCTCCATCAGGCTTCTGAAACTCAGGTAGAGCAGGAAGCATGCAGGATATAGGAAGATAGGCAGGAAAGATGATACAAGTTGGAGGAACCAGTCAAAGGAAGCAATAAATTTTCAGGGAAGGGCATTACAGGTAAGAAAAATGTTAAAAGGAGCATGTCAGGCAGTGAGAGGCATATGAGAGGAGACAGTAGTCTGTTTTCCCCTTTTGTGCAGCCCTTATCTATCAAAAACCCCCAGCCTTCCTTGGAGAGGGGTTGTGGGTCACTGTAGAGGGGTTGTGGGCTTGTGGCAGTTTTCCCTGCCATTCCTTGCAACCCCAGCAATAAAGCAAAACAAAACAAAACAGCATCAGAGGAAATCAAACAGGGAAACAGGGCAAGCCTCTCTTTTTAAACATAGAGGAACAACTTTAAGAAATAAAATAAGAAGTCACAGAACTACAGAGAGAACAATATTTTGTATTGCTGTTGCCTACTTTACTTACAATGACCTCCTCTGAAGAAGCTGCAGCCAAACCCCCCTGATGAGAGTGTCTTTAGAGACACATAAAATGTACTTTTGTCTGTCATATAAGAGAAGATATGGCAGGTGCTATGGCTGCTTACTTTCCCATCAGCACTGTATCTCTAAAGTCTTGCCTCTTTCCTCATCACATAGCAAGCTCAACTGAGAAGTACAACAAAGGTCCACAGGACCATGATGTCCTTAGCCCATGATGATCACCCTTTTGAAGGTGTGATCCTGTTTACCCAGAAGCACTCCTAGGCCAGCAAGTCCAGGACATTCTGCGTACATTCCATGTCATCAGA